CCCCCCCCCGAAAAAAAAATACTAAACTTCACGTGTGCAATCTTCGACACGTGAGCCAGTCGCGGGAGGGAGGAGACTAAACAGAACCGACCCCCGGACCAGATCCCGCTAGCCTGCACTGTCCTCCCAAACAAATGGACCCAAATCAGTGTTCCCTCTAAGCTGGGTTAGTGTGAGCTGGCTCACAGTTTTTTAGCCTCCGGAACACACATTTTTGTCTTAGCTCAGGAAGGACGGCTCCAGAGGAAAGTAATTTATGCAGTAGCCAAATCGCTCGCTCACAATTTTCATGCCAGTAGCTCACAAAGTAGAATGTTTGCTTACAAGACTCTGCAGCTTAGAGGGAGGATTGACCAGAATAGCTGTTCCTTATAAAAAGCCTTCCATTTAGTCTGAAGGCTTTTGGACAAAGTTTGAGTCCAGTGGAACTTTGTTGGTCTTAAAAGTGCCACTGGACTCGGACTTTTGTTCAAAACCTTCAAGTGTTGGTTTTCAAATGTTCACTGGTTGGATCTACTTAGAATCATAAGAGTTGGAAGGGAACTCCAGGGTCATCTAGTCCAACCCTCTGCAGGGAATTCATAACTACCTCCCTCCCAACACCCCCAGTGACCCCTGCTCCTTGCCCAGAAGATGGCAAAAAAAAAAAAAAACCCGTCCAAGATCCCCGGCCAAACTGACCTGGAGAAAATTCCTTCCAGACCCCAAAGTAGCGATGGGCATCTCCCTGGGCATGTAGGAAAGGGTTGCGAGAACTAAGCACTGAGGCAACCCTTCCTGCCCTCCCTCTCATGATCTGCCCAAGTTCACAGGATCAGCATGGCTATCGGATGGCCATCTAGTTTGAAAACCTCCGAAGAAGGAGAGCCCACCACTTCCCGAGGAAGCCTACTCCACTGAGGAACCACTGTGACCGTCAGGAAGTTCTTCCTAATGTTTAGACGAAAACTCTTCTGATTTAATTTCAACCTGTTGGTTCTGGTCTGACCTTCTGTGGCAACAGAAAACAACTCCGCGCCATCCTCTATATGACAATCCTTCAAGTACTTGAAGTTGTTTATCATATCATCTGTTAGGAAGTTCTTCCTAATGTTTAGACGAAAACTCTTCTGATTTAATTTCAACCTGTTGGTTCTGGTCTGACCTTCTGTGGCAACAGAAAACAACTCCGTACCATCCTCCATATGACAGCCCTTCAAGTACTTGAAGATGGTTATCATATCACCTCTCAATTATCTCCAGGCTAAACATACCCAGCTCCTTCAACCTTTCCTCATAGGACTTGGTCTCCAGACCCCTCACCATCTTCGTTGCCCTCCTCTGGACACATTCCAGCTTCTCTATATCCTTCTGAAATTGTGGTGCCCAAAACTGAACACGATACTCTAGGTGAGGTCTAACCAGAGCAGAGTAAAGTTATACCAAAGCAGAGTAAAGTGATACCAAAGCAGAGTAAAGCGATACTTGCAATGCAGATTTTTTTTTTCATTTTTAAAAATGCGTATCGTGTTTCGACCGCAGAGGAAGCCATTTCCCAAATAATGAAGTGTCATAAAACAGCAACAGCCATATAATGCCCATAGAACAGTAAGTGTTAAAACAAACACCACCAAAATACCTCCAGGGAACCAACAAAAAGAGTTCTGCAGGAGTTGGGGATTAATTTCCAAAGGCCTATTGGACTAGAATGGCCTTTGAGAAATTTCCTAAATCTAATCGTCCAATATGGGTTTGGAGTCTGAAGATCAGTTGTGATTCTACGAGCACTCCAGACCCTCCATGGAGGTTGGAAACCTTGTTCCTAAACTCTTCTTTAATTTACAAAAATAAAGACACAGGGAAAACATTGTAGAGCGTAAAATGCATTCTCAGATTATAGATACACAATCTCAATTTTTAAAAAGCAGCAGACTTCTGAACAAAATGAATCCACTGTTCACTAATCCTATCCAAGATTCAGGTGGGCCGCCGTGTTGGTCTGAAGCAACAGAACAAAGTTTGAGTCTGGTGGCACCTTTAAGACCAACAAAGTTTAGTCAAGTCAGTCGGTCAGTCAATGTTTACTACGGTCAAAAAACGGCATAAAATCAAAACATCTCTTAAAACCATCTAATAATCTGGCTATTTTGGATAGGGATAGAACAAAGTTTGGGTCCAGTGGCACCTTTAAGACCAACAAAGCTTAATTCCGGGTAAAAGCTTTCATGTGCATGCACACGTCTTCTGATATAGGAAGAGATGTTGCATGCAAACGAAAGCTTATACCCAGAATTAAACTTTGTTGGTCTTAAAGGTGCCACTGAACCCAAACTTTGTTCTAATCCTATCCAAAATAGCCAGATTATTAATTCTTCCCCATTTCCCCCCTTTATTCTGCTTGGATGTGAAAGTTGGACAGTGAAGAAAGCGGGCAGGAAGAAAGTTGGTTTGAAATGTGGCGTTGGGAGGAGAGTTTTACGGATACCGTGGGTGGCCAAAAAAGACCAATCCATGGGTTCTAGATCAAATCAAGTCTGACTTCTCTTTAGCTTTTGGCAGGTTTCCCAGTACCAGATTGTAACAATTTCATGTTTAACTGTGTGTGTGTGACTTTAAAAGTTTGGATGCATGGCTGTATGATAGTCTAGAGTAGTGGAAACAAGCAAGTGGTGTGATTGGTGAGTGACAGAGAGGGGGAGGGGTTTTGGAAATTATTCTGTGTGGATGAGCAGATATGTCAGTCAAGAGGGTCAGTTAGTGATGACAGTTGAAGAAGACAGAGAGTTAGTTAGTTCTGAAGTCTGAGAGAGAGACAAATCCCTGTGTGGGATAATTTGGTTCTGTGTAGTAAAAGAGTTAAGCAGTTTGTTCGTTTTAAGGTCTGAGAGAGAGAAGTCTTGTGTGTGTTATGAAAAGTTGAAGTATAAAGAAACAGTAACCGTATATGGCCTAAAGGGAAAAAAGTGTTACAGAGTTACATGCCTAGATCCCTGACAGTGGGAGAGAAAAGTGTGTGAAATATCAATAAATCTACTTTTATTTAAGATACCAGTTCTGAAAGAAATTCTTCCCAGGAAACACATAGACCCTCGTGAACGCCTAAACCCTCGACTTACCTACCCAGTGACAGAAATATTATATTATAGAGGTTTGGAAAGCCTTAAATTTCCTGGTGGCAGCCGGAATATCCAGTAGAATAAAATATAAAGAACACTTTTAAAGTAAAACCAGACCTCCCCAGATAAGGGGGCGTCACACAGATGCTCTGTCTTACAAAGGAAATATATTGTTTTGAGAACACTGAAAATCTGTTCACCACATAACTTCCAGTGTTAGGTGTTCTTGTAGTTTCCAAATATGCATTCCATTCTATTGCATCCTAATTCCATCCAGAGAGGCCCCTAATAATACTTCTGCTTAATATAACTTCTTATACAGAAAAATACAATCATAAAATACAGAGGTCGGTTCGGGGGGAACGCGGGGGATCGCTGTTCCCCCGGGTGAGGTGTGGGGCGGGGCATACGATGAAGCCCCGCCCCCTGCTTCTAGCCCTCATTCAGCCAGGAGGAGGCAGGAGAAGAGGGAGGGTAAGTTGCTTCCTCCCCACCTCTCCCCACCCTTGCCTGCCTGGGGCTAGGGAGGGCCTTGGCGGGGCTTCCTCGCACTCCCGCCGGCCTTGCAGGTCCACCGCCGGGCCCCCAACACTTCCGGTGATGTCAGGGGGTGTGGCCTTATGACACACTTCCAGTGATGTCAGGGGGTGTGGCATATGCTAATGAGCTATGCTAATAAGTTCCCCTAGCTCATTTTCTATTAAACGACCACTGATAAAATATATATGTTCTACTATAGATTTTTTCCATCTGGGCTAAATACCAAAATCTGAATATACTATGATTAAACTCTTATTAAGGCACGGTGACAGCTGTCAATATATGTCAAAGGAGATATCAGAAATCACGTTCATTTTTCCCTTGTCCTACAAAGCTAAAAATGACAAAACAGGCTATTGTACTTTAGTCACATTATGAGAAGACAAGAGTCACTGGAAAAGACAATAATTCTAGGAAAAGCTGAAGCCAGCAGGAAAAGAGGAAGACACAACGTGAGATAGATTGACTCAATACAGGAAGCCACGGCCCTCCGTCTGCAAGATATAAGGAAGGCTGTCAATGATAGGACATTTTGGAGGTCATCAATTCATTGGATCACCTTAAGTTGAAAGCGACTTCACGGCATTCGACACACATATTCATTCTTCCAAATTTCACACCAGTAAACAAATGGCTTTCGGCCTTTATGATAGTTAATTCTGCACAATCTAAAACTCATTTCCAATGGGAATCTAACTTAGTCACATCTTCATTATTTAGCAGAGCCGTTAACTCGCATTACAATACAGAAATCGCTTTTTGTAAAAAATGCTTTCCTACTAGGAATTTCCTTTTCTTTCCATAGTTTGGCAAAAGACTAATGGTTGCTGTCACAACAAATGACAGTCGCACAGAACTGTTTTG